GGAATGCTTATGAAATGTGTTTCACGGGACAGGAAAATCTTGCTGTCTTTGGGCTTATATGATACAAGGGGCTCTTGAACATGATAAAGATGCTATAGATTTGTTTATGTTACATATTAAATGGGTAGTTTGCCTGTCCCTTTAATGTAATACTATTTTATTTATTTGTGTAGCTGTACCAGTTCCAGGTAAAAACCCTGATATTTTCTGGCTCTCACAAGCCATAGTGCCAAAGTGCTTTATTTTTATGTGGCTATGCTCCAAGGCCTTTGAAGAATGCTCATGAGGTTCAGGGGTGAGAGGTGTCTGAGTTTCCATGCAGAAGAGCCATGGAAATATGAGACAAGCAGCTGTGAGAGGAAAAGTGCCAAAGATCCAAAACACAATCTGTGCTATGAATAAAGCAGTACAATAACAGGTTACCTTATTTTAAAGCATGTGATGATATGCCTTGCTGTCTTGTGCAAGAGAAAAAAATACCACTTACTTGTTCAGGGCACTTTTGCTTAACCTAGACTCTTCAACTTCTCGTTGCTTAGTTTGCTCTTGGATGACTTTTTCCCAGAAGTTCTTCAGCCCTTCTGCATCCTGACCACCCATCTTGTGGCGTCTACAGTTGGCATGCTTGCTCATTTTCTGAAAAGCGATTTGGAGGTTAGAGCAGACAGGACCCCCATCTGAGCCAACCACTGTGTTTCTTAGCCCCTTACAATTTCTTTCTCATGAATTGCTTTCAAAATAAAGTATGTCACCTAAGAAGAATAGGTAACTGATGCTTACTCTGCCTTGAAGCAAAATATAAAGCATTGAAATAGGCCTTGGGTGATAGGTAAATGATATACCCGTATTTTTGTTACTGAGTAAAGACTATGCACGGCACAGTTCAAAGAAATGTTGTGGAGGCCTCAGTATGTGCAAGATTTTATGTGGTTTTGCAAGAACTTGGGAAAAATGCTTTCAAATATAGTTCCATCATCACTGAAGTACAGGTGAGATGTTGTGAAGGGCTTTCCATTTTTCTGCCTGCTGTGGTTTTAAAAGAGATCATAGATGGTTGTTATCCAAGGGAAGTATGTTGCTCTTAAATGATTCCTTTTAGTACTCCAAATGATATAAAGCACAAAATATGCAGGGGAATTATGAATCTAAAGTTGAAGCATATAGAGTGCAAAGCCCTAGGGTGCTTATTTTAGCCTAGTTCTTTGATTTATCAAAATCCAGTCTTAAATACTGCTAAAAGTAGAGCTCATTAAAATATAGAGATGAATTCAAATAAATGAGAAAAAGGAAAAAAATGAATTGAATTTCTCCTTGCTAAATGCATAATATTAAAACATGAAACGTTTTAAAATTCTCGTCATGTCTGAGATACTTGCTGGTATTACCAAGTATGCATTCGTTATCAAACGTTAATGATACTTCGAAAAGTTGAGTTCTGTTGTCCATTCCCAAAGGAAATAATCAGAAAAATTGCTGGCCAAATGTTGCTTTGCTACAGCATTAAATAAGGTACCAGCAACCCATTATACTTCTACCCCAATTGGGAAACAGGTTTTCCTGCATCAATCTCCTCCACTAAGCCCCTCCAGCAAGCAGGTAGATGTAAGAAAGTAAAAAAAAAAACAAAAACCAAACCCCACACTCCTGACTTTTCTATTACTAGATCAGCACATAATTTGAGGGTTCCTATGAAACCCTTTTGGTTCCTTGTGTTCATCTATTTTCTACTGTCACTAGAAACTTTTGTCCACTGTCTGCTCTGTAATGATTATTTAATGCCTCATAGATCCTGATATGTACTTGTAAGTCTGCTTCATAGACAATGTCATATTTTATGAGCTATCATTGATAAACACTATGAAGACTATGCTAAAGTAGGCTAGTCTGAGGGAACCTTTGATTTGTGCAATGCTCTAAATGGAAGATCAGAGAAATAGAAAGGACAGTCAGACCCAACACAATTAAGGCAGACTTGTGTAAGGTCTTCCTATCCAATACTATATTTTAAACTCCCGAAGTTTTAAAAGGGGACATAAATAAAATCTTGACATCTTCCTAGACTGAGCATTTTAGATTTCGCATTATTTTCACAAGCCTGTCTTTTAGGAAGATCAGTAATAACAAATAATTTTCCAAATCAGTTCTAAGTCTGAATGGACTGATGAACGTGCTTAATAAATATAAAAATCTCTGCCACTTCCAGATGCAGTGTTTTTCCACAGAGAAGTCCAATTGTTTAAAGACTAGCACAGTCCAACTGGAGTAGTAAGTGTGAACTGGTTAGTCCATGTAATATAATCTCCTATGTGACAGTATCAGACATGCTTGAGTGGTTAGGATACTGGTCCTCTTCACAGCAAGAGCTGCAATGGCACCAAAAAAATGGCATCTTTTCCCCTGAGGCAAACAGCAGTTTTCTGGTGTTTCCCTTGCTGAGGACTTGCTGTGGATGTAGCACAGTAGGATACAGCAGTTGTTACACCGGCATCGGTACAGCAGTTCACTACCACTTTTTGCTAAACGTGCTTTGTTTATCAATGATGTGCTCTAAATGGGAATACAATCTTTAATGATCTTTTGTCTCATTCTAAGGCCCTAAAATAACAGTAATATTTAAGGCTTCATCTTGCAAAAAGCTATGCATGTCACGGACACACTGGAACATGCCCTATCTGTATCTTAATTCTATATGCTTTAATCAGTGTTAGAATAAATGCTCTGGTAATAGCTTGTTACAGTGAGTGATGGAATATGATTACTTAATCATTCCTAGACCAGCAGGTCACCTGGGTCTTTACACCATTTAAAGGCTCTTCTATCAGCAGCAGCTGCCCACTTGACACTCTTCAGATAATTATTCTGTTGCCCCAGAAGCCAAGTGCAAGCTGCTGACAAACTGCCTGAGTAGGTTTGCCCTCCAAACCCTATTAGACTTTGCCTCATGTAAGAGCTTGCTATAACACATTAGCCTTTCATTAGACATTACATTTTTATCACTATTTAACTCTAGTAGATGTTCTTCAAGTGATGCAAAGAGGGCCTCCGATCTTTATCTGAGGTCTAAATTGGTTAGATTTTTTTGGGAGCACATGAGGGCTTTGGCTGCCTTAAATCTTGGCTGTTCCACTCAGAGGAACAAGCTGTGGTCAGACAGGTACCCAGAAAATGGAGGTACTTCTGCAAATGTTAGTCTAGTATATATCTATGAGATCTTTTGCAAGCCAAGAACATTTGACTTGGTAACAGTTCCTAGGAATGTCTTTGCTGAGAGAGATTCTTGACCTAAGGGTTTTGAAGAAGGTGCTGTCTGGCATTATTAGCTATCATCTCTTGTGCTATGATGTGTGAAAGTATCCTTTCTTTGAACCTGGCATTACAATATCCATGTACAGAGATTAGAGTTCGCATTTCACATGTATTGTGTAATATCTTTTTTCTTTTTTTTTTTTTTTCCTAGTTGAAAGATTCTACTTAGGATCTTGGTTTGGATTTCTGAGTAGTTCTCTAGATTTGTTTGTATCAAACAAATTCGTTATTATTGCTCAAAACCCCATCTTTTCTTGTTGTTGTTGAATGATTTTCTGCATTCTTTTTAGGAAACAACACATAATAACACATAACACAAATTGGAGTTATACTAACAATTGTACTTAATTCTTGCAAACAACTTCTTGATTCCTTCACTCAGATACCTCAGAGTTCAGAAACTAGCAGGGCAGTTGGACTTTCCCTGTAAGTAAAAAACACAGTTTCTTAGAGTCAGTCCACCAGTTTTGCCTGTGTGGAAGGTGAGCAAGGAAAAGAGGTTCTTTATCACCTTTATTTTCCTTTCAGATAGACAGGTATTATTCCAGAGAAAATAAAGGAAAGTCGAGGAGGTGTCTTTCTGGCTACTAAAGGCAGGCTGTTTTAACAGGTTTTTCCACTGATATGAAAGTAAAATAAGTAACATCAACAATTCCATAGGTTCAAAATGATTCATTTAGAAGACCTAAATCAGTGTACGTATCGTTTATGGACAGAAAATTTATGTTATGAAAATTCTGCAATATATGTTCTGTGAAGGACTACTAAAATGTGCATAACACTGGCAGAAGGCAGAGTCCCTTATTAAATCTTCAACTAAGATGGTTGAGGAGGGGCTATTTTTATATAGGTTGTGCAGTCCTACCTGCCCATTTGAAGTATAGTTGGCTGCTTTTTTTGGAAGCCAAGCTGATAAAGCAATGTTTAGAAAAAGGTAAAACTAGATGTTAGCTGAAGTGGCTACTTGGTAGCTCTGAAACTGAACTGTCAGAAATAAGTGTATGTGTGTACAAAAGTTTTTTACAGCATTAATTAATAGGAATTAATTTATTTGTTAATGAATTATTCTTACACAAGAAGTAATAGTAAATAAAATTAATGGCACTCTAAAAGAAAAATCACCTGTATTTGTAATCAAACCATAAATCACATGGCCATGCAGCAACTTGTAAGACAGCAAATCACTCAAGAAACACAGATAACATCTATGTAAAATACATTGATTTAAACTCTTTAAGTTGCCATCTCACAGTGTATTTAAAGGAGGTTCAAAGTGTGCATGATGAGTACTTTTTCCTCAACAGATTTCTCCAGTGCAAGGGAGAAGAAATTTTGCTTCTAGCTGGAAGTTATTGTATGTACAACTTCTATTCACTGTCACAAATTAATATGTGATACAACCTTCTGTCTTTTAATCTGGTGTGCAGGTTGAATGTGCTTTGGAAAGGTGTTAAATTAGTATGTTACCAAAAGCTCTGGTCTTATAACTTTCTTGGTCTGCACATTTTGAATCACTAATCTCAGGCAATCTCCACTGAGGTACAAAAAGGAGTTTGAACAAATAGCTAATGCAAAGAACTTCTCTTCTACACAGTTTATAATTGTATTTCTACTTTGTACTCTTGCCAGACAAATTTTTGGAGTCAGAAATGACTCTTGATGTTTTGAACAAAGTGCTATTTTTAGTAACTTTTATCTAAAATAAACAAGCAAAAGAAGAAAATCTTGTCTGAAACTTCAGGAAGCTTTTTTCACTCTTTTTCAGTCTTTCTATTTAATACATGTCTTGAGCCATTGTCTTCAAAATTCAGTATTTTATATACAGAGACAATATTGTACATACGAGATCCTCTGGAAATCTTTTACTGAAAGATACTGAAAAGTATTTTAAAACATTCAGTAACACTGCTAACATATTTTGAGAAAAAATTTAAAGTAATTTTTAATCTAAATGTTGCATAATAAAAAGAATCAATTGGTTTGACTAATCAAAAGAAACCAACCTTATGGTTTTTTCTTATTGGAAAATATTTTAACCAGCTAAATTAAATAATGTTTGAACACTTCTAAATTTTATTTTCAAAATGTTCACTGAAAGAACAAAATCTGTGACAAGAATGATTTTTTTTAATATCTTAAAAAACATTTCCTTTCTAAAGGGTGGAGATAAGGCTAATTTTAACACTTTCAATGAATCTGAGGGTTCAGACAATTTTAATGTTGAACCTGAACATGTTTCTGAAAGAATTTCCACAGTCACTTCAGAGTTTTTTCAAGATCATTGTAAACAATGGAAAGATTATCTATGGCATCAACTGGACTCAGTC